CAGCTGCTACGGCAGGAGGGTAAATACCCCATGCGGAGTGACATGGCCCTGTGGAAGGAGCACCGGGACACTCGCAGCCTGCCCTATGGACCCTTCACTGAGTGAGTCCTGTCCTGGCTGTCCTCTGTGGGACAGCACACATCTCCTGTCCCTTCCTTAGATGCCTAGGTGGCAACTTGCATTGCTCCCTCTCCTGCAAGGTGCATGTCCCCACCGAGGAGAAGGGCATGGCCATGCCCATGGTGGGTGGAAAGACCTCTGGGGTGGTTCCAGGCTGGAGTTGGGAGTGTTGGGACACTGCTGCCAACCACTGCCCCCTGTACATCCGTACACCCAGCACTGAGCCTTGTCCCCATCCAGGGAAGGGGAGCGCTGGTACCGCCTGCGCCAGGTCCTCAACAAGCGGCTGCTGAAGCCCTCAGAGGCAGTGCTGTATGCGGATGCCATCGGGGAGGTGGTGTCAGACCTGATGGTGCGGCTGCGGGAGGAGCGGAGCCGCAGCTCCTCAGGGGTGCTGGTGGAGGACGTGGCCAACCTGCTCTACCGTTTTGCCCTCGAAGGTAGGGGGTTCTTCCTCCTCACCCCTGCCCTGCCCCACTCTTCCCATCCCCCCAGAGGTCTGGATACTGTCTGTCCTCCACAGGGATCTCCTACATCCTCTTCGAGACCCGCATTGGGTGCCTGAAACAGCAGGTCCCTGCCGAGACCCAGCGCTTCATTGACTCCATCAACCTCATGTTCAAGAACTCCATCTTCGCCACCGTCCTGCCCCGATGGAGCCGCAAGGTGCTGCCCTTCTGGGACCGCTACTTGAACAGCTGGGACACCATCTTTGCCTTCGGTGAGCAGTGACGAGGGGGACCCAGCATGGTAGGATTGGACTCCCTAAGGACACTCAAAAGTGGAGCAGTCCCTGGCCACATGTCCTTTTGGCAGCCCTCACTCTGTCAGCTCTGGGTCCCGCTCTCTGTCCCTGCAGGCAAGACCCTGATTGACCGAAAGATGGAGGAGCTGGAGGGGCAAGTAGAGCGCGGCAAGGAGGTGTCCGGCTACCTGAGCTACCTGCTGGCTAGTGGCAGACTCAGCCTGGATGAGGTCTACGGCAGCGTGGCCGAGCTGCTGCTGGCTGGTGTGGACACGGTGAGAGCCAGACAGCTGCTGCCAGGGGATTCCTGCTGAGCTCCATGCCCAGGGGAACCCACAGGGCCATGCTCAGCCCAGCCTCTGCAAGCTCTGGCCTGGTGGCTGGGAGGCTAATGCTCCCCAGGGGCAAACCCTCAGGAATCAGTCAGCTCAATCCCTGTCTTCTGCTCTGCTCCCTGTCATGCTCGCCATCCCACTTTCCCCTGCGCCTGCTACCCCTCACCCCTGACTTTCCTGCACACCAGAGCAGGGGTTCTCTGGTGCCATACTGGTGCTGTGCTTGGTACAAGGCTGCTCAGGTACCAGCCGCAGTTCTCTCACTCACCTTGGTTCTCCACTCCCCCAGACCTCCAACACACTGTCCTGGGCCTTGTACCACCTCTCCCGGGACCCAGGCATCCAGGAGACCCTGTACCAGGAGCTGAAAGCTGTTGTGCCTGCCGACCGCTTTCCGGCTGCTGAGGATATCCCCAAGTTGCCGATGCTTCGGGCCATTATCAAGGAGACACTGAGGTACAGCCCAGCCTTGCCCCTGCCCCAAGGTCCTGGTCATCAGCCCCTTCTCCGGGGAAAATACACCAACCAGGCGGTATGGGAGGCTGAATTTCAGTCCCTCAGGACCACATATATCCACCTCCTCCTTAGGGAGCTGCTTAGCAGCAGGAGGTGCTCCCCCTTGTCCTGCCTGCAGCTCTCTCCGTCTGGGATCTCCAGATGGGTCCTGCTTCACCACTTATTCTCCCCATATCCCAGGGTCTACCCCGTAGTGCCCACCAACGCCAGGGTCTTCTATGAGAAGGACATTGTCATCGGAGACTACCTCTTCCCCAAGAATGTGAGTAGGGGCTGTGGTGTGGGGTTCCCCGCTGCGCTTAATGGGGCTGGGTCTGGTCATTAACCCCCACTTACTGCCCTGCAGACCCTCTTTGTCCTGGCACACTACGCAATGTCCCACGATGAGACCTACTTCCCTGAGCCTGAGCGATTCCTGCCCCAGCGCTGGCTCCGCGGATATGGGTCCCCCCACCACCCCTTCAGCTCCATCCCCTTTGGCTACGGGGTTCGCGCCTGTGTTGGACGCCGCATTGCTGAGCTGGAGATGCACCTGGCCCTCGCCAGGGTGAGTAGGGACCCCTCCACTCTGGTTATCTTGCCATGAGCTGGGATGGGGGCCCCAGGGAGTCCCCAAGGCACTGCCACTCCCTTTCTTCCCACAGATCATCCAAGCATTCGAGGTGCGGCCAGACCCCCGTGGCGTGGAGGTGACATCTGTGTCCCGCATTGTCCTGGTGGCCGACAAGCCCATCAACCTGGAGTTCATTGCTCGCCCGGAAGCCCCCTGACTGCACATCCACCCCTGACCCTGGGTGCCAAATGGAGAACCCCCGCTGCCCCACAGGGAGGGGCAGGCAGGAAGGCAAAACCGTCCTCTGCCCAGATTGGGTCGGGGGGCTCCCAGCCCCACTGTGGGGAAGAGGGAGAGGATAAGAGATTGCCCCCAAATTGCCCCTGGGGCACTAGTAGCCCCCTACCCCAAATCAGCGGGAGGCTTAGGGAACTGCTGTGCCTTTCACACACTTTAGGGGGTTGTGTCGCCCCCATCCCATGCCCAGCTGGGCTGTGTTGGGGACCTGGGAGCTCTGTCAGGGCAGGGGGGAAGCAGGGTGGGGTTTTGCAGCCATTTGGTGTCTCCTTCGTCCTGTCCTTGTGTAGCTGCGCGTGGATCTGTGCCTGGAGCCAGGACATCTGGGTCTTTTCTGAACAGCTGACCTTGGCCTCAGAAGCTTCTCTGTTCCTCAGTTTCCCCCATGCCTCCAAGGGGAGGGTTGAGTGCTGGCCGGGTTTGGGGTTTGCACCTCTCCCAAGGGGCGGAGCTGGGAAAGCAAAGCAATAATGCAGCTCGTCCCCAGTGAGGGGAAGAGGCCTGTCACCACCCAGCACTGGTATCATGTCCCCTGGCAGAGCCAGCCAACACAGGAGGGGTGTTTAGCACCCGGGACCTTCCACTATTAGCCACTGTTGCACTGAGATGCTCTTATGGGGTCACGGGAATGGCAGGGCTTGCTCCATGTGAAGCAGGCAGAGAAAGGTCAGCTCGGCACCCCCCATCCTCAAGTGGGAGCTGATATCCAGGGCAATCACAGGGGCTCAGAGCTGGTAGCAGCCACAGACAAGGGATGCATTACCAGGGTCCTGGGGCATGGGACACCCTAACAGTGAACCACTCTCACCTTCCTACTTCTTGGACTAAGGGAAGCAGCAGGCAGAAACCTTGCTGGCACCAAGGCTGCTGTGCTTGGGGCATCCCTGAAGGGCCCTCCCACCACCACTGTAATCAAGGCTGCATGCCCTGTTTCCCTGTCACCTTGGCTCTACCCCCTGTGCCCATGCCACCCTTGCTGGCATTCCAGGCTGGGTTCCCCAGCCCTGCCAAGTAGCCAGTATCCCTCTTCCAAGCCCTGCTCTCTCCAGAGCAGCTATGCTCAGCTTTAACCCAGAAAAGCAAGAGGCAGTTCTTGGATCAGGCTACTTTGTTACAACGAGGCTGAACAGACCAACAAATAAATAAGTATCCCCTTCCCACCCCAAAACGTGCACAGGATCCCCACGCAAGTGCCCATCCTGGTGCCAGCTTTTGCACAGGCTGTGCCTCTGCCAGGGAGCTCCAGCCCCATGTGACCCTACAATAAACAAGCCTGTGTGTGCAGCTGAGCCTATGCTACCAAGCACTGGGCACAGACGGTGGGACTGTGTTCACCAGGAGGGAGCCACAGTGGAAATGCTCGAATGCAGCAGTGGGATGGGAGCAGAGTGACCAGGTCTTCTGGGGCTCTGTGGATCTCTGTGCCCAGCCACAGGCATGTCATGGCTCCTCCAGCACAGTGCCCATTGAGCATCACTGTGCTCACTGGCAGGAGGTACCCCGGTGACCCTTTTTCCACCCTTTCTGCCTCCCCAAGGCTGACAGGATCTGGCCCTGGAGTCAAGACGAGCCCCAGGACTGGGGTGAACAGGCAGATCCTCCCTGCAGAGAACCTTCAGGCCAAAGCCTCCTTCTCACGGGCCATGCAAGAGACCCCTGAGTCAAACAAGACAGTGGCACTTCCTGGTGTCTTCAGAGCAAGGATCGATCGATGCCTGCAAGGCAAGAGAGCATGCGAGGCCATAACCCTAAAACAGTGCTGGACTGAGCACCCTGTGGCATGGCCCTCCCAACCCATCCTGGTGGACACTGGGGTCGTGCCTCTATTCCTGGCTTGGATGCAAGCTCTGGGCTACGAGGGAGGGCAGCTGGCCTGGAGAGGGCCCCCTGGAGTTCCTGATGCAGCCACCCCTGTGGGCACCAGGAATGGGGTAAGCGAAGATACCATGACTGGGAAATAGGGGGAAGGGGCTTGTCTCACTTGTGGCTCACACACACCGCTCCCTGTCCCCTCTTGTGCAGAGCAGCTGGGCACTGCTGGTGGAACTGGTGGACATGAGGATGTCCCAAGCCCATTACCCACCACTACCCCAAAAAAAGTATCATTACCTTTGGAAAGCAGATGGGACCCAGGGCCAGCTCCCTCCTTCCTATTTCACCCCTAAAGAGCTGCCACAGTGGGTGCAAACACAATGCCCACCCATCACCAGTGAGGACTCACCAGGCAGTGGGTGAGCAGACCCAGCTGCAGGCAATCAGGCAGTATGGTCCCAGTGCCACCTGAGAGTGAGCCCTGTCCCTGGAGCAGGCAGTTTTGGGGCTGCTGCAGGTAGAGAGGGTTTGGGGGCCTCTGCCAGCCAGGGCCCATGGGTCAGGCATGGTGTACACATGGCTACTCGTGGGCAGCATGTCATGAGGGTGCAAGTGGAGGAATGGCACTGGAGGTGCTCAGATCTCAGGGTTTGAGGTGAGATCAAAAATATGCTTTTGTCTTAGGGTGCATCACACCCCAAAACCCTCATCCAGCCCAAAACCCAGAGACCTGCAAAACCTGCATTCCATTCACTGCCTGAATGGGAGTCTAGGGGAGCTGTCTCCATGGCAAGTGCCCCCATCCCTCCTCATGGACACCAGGGGTCCCCCTCTGATTCTTGTGTACCCCAGGACAAGCAGCATCTGGGTCCTGCTGTCCCCCCTTGGGCACCCAGCGCTTCCAGACCCCAGCCCCAGCCTCCTTCATCCCTCAGGGCCAGTTTGGCTGGGGTGGAGGCAGGTGGTCTGAGCAGGAAAGTGGCAAGGTGCAAGTGACCCAGTGTCATGAAGGGAACAGGCCCACAGTGACAGAGGACAGCGCCTACCTGAAGTGGAGAGAAATGCGGAGTGCAAGTGGAGAAAGATGGAGTGCCGTGGGCTAAGAGTTAAGAGCATCGATACCTGCGGGAGTGAGCACAAGGGCCTGGAGGATGTCGGAGAGGGAGACGATGCCCCGCGGGTACCGGTTCTCATCTACCAGAACCAGGCGATGGACCTGTGGGTGCAGGCAGACCATCATGGGCACGCTGGGCAGCTGGCAGGGGTGGCTGTGCTGGCACAAGGCACCCCAGCCACTCACCTGCTCCTTGGCAAATCGATCAATGATGTCCTCCATGGGCTCATGGGGGTAGCAGGTGATGACCCCCTCCAGGCAGGTAGTGCGCTGCCGCAGTGCCTCCCGCACACTGATGTCCAGGTTGTTATAGGTCTTCTGGGCTGCCAGGTGCTGTGGGAGGTGTGACCCCATTCAGCACCCCCGTGTGTCCTCATACCCCGTTGTGGCAACACAGAGGGAACACTGAGTCCTGGGGATGAACTGAGCAGATGTGCACTGGCATGGGCAGGACATTGCATTTGGGATGGGTTTACACAGGCACAGATAAGTGTGAACACCCCCACCAGTGCATGCAAGGGGCCACACTTGTGTTCAGGCATGCAAACACACAGGGTACTCACAATGACATCAAACCGGGAGTACAGGCCAACCACTTGCCCTGCAAAGAGAAACAGGGCAGGAGCTGGGGAGGGGGACATGCCTTGGGGACATTTGCCATGTTCCTTGCACACCCCAAGCGGCAGCCCAAGAGCCAGGAGAGGGTTTTTGGATGGGGATGGGGATGGAGCTGCTGGCAGAGGGAGATGAGGGGGTCACTTTCCTCCTCCCCAGGTACCGGCATCATTGATGACAGGCAAGGCAGAGACACGGCGATCCACGAAGATGTCTAAGGCAGTGTAGATCGGGGCAGTCTCAGGCACAACAGCCAGGTCACGGAAGGTGCCAATGCACAGCTCCTGCACTGTTTTTTTCAGGAAGCGTGGCTTGGGAATGGTAGAGGCCTGCAATGGGTCAGGGCAGGGCTTGACTGGCACCTACACACATTTTGATACCCTTGTTTGTGCCCCTACGCACCTGCCATGTGTGTGCACACACAGCCCCGACACTCACAAAAATGTGGAGAAACTTGAGGATGCGCTTGTGTGTCAGGATGTGCAGGACATTGCCCGAGATGGGCTCGATGACAGGCAGGCGGTGAATTTTATGCTTGATCAGGGAGTAGACAGCATCGAAGAGGCTGTGGGTGATGGGGACATCGTGGTGGGATAGGGCTGCAATGCAGGCAAACACACACCCACCCCAAGGGGTGGACAGGCTCTCACCTATTGCTTGGGGAGATGTAGACCAACGGCTTGAAGGAGCCCTGCAGGTACACCTCTGCCAAGGGAGAGAGGTGGAAGGGGGGGTCCTCCAGCCCTCTCATGCAGCCCCACAACCCAGAGCTCACCACTATGCCCTGCACAACATCCTGCCCAGCCATCCCTATCACCCCATGATTTTTACCTCTCCAGGTCTCAATTTTGTGCTCCTCCACCTCATAGATTTGAACCTGAAGGTAGGGAAATGCTTTGGTTATGGGGGCTTATGGGGGACTGAGGGCACAGTGAGACACTACTCCTTTCCCCAGGCATCCTATCCCATCACCCTAAGCACAGGAATTACATTTTCAGTGCCAGGCAGACAGGCAAAAAGCAGATGCTGCCCTGGCCCAGAATCATCCCCTGGTCACAGTCCAGTGATGAAGAGGAGACCAGGAGAGGTGGGGACAGCCCCTCCCTGCCCCATGCATGCCCCGATCTCTCATGCTCTCCCCACCACACTCACCAGAGGTGAGCGGTAGTAACGGTGGAGGATGTTGATGAAGTCGGTGATGGTGAGCATCCCTGTGGAGACACGTGGGGCTGGCAGCACTGCCTGCACCCTCACTGCCGGGCCAGGGAGGGGGCCAGGCAGCACTGCTGGCACTCACCCACAAAGCTCTGTGTCTTGTTGTCCCAGAGAGGGGCAGCACGCACCCCGTTGGCCACCAGTGCCAGAAAGGCTTTCTTGATCTGCTGACAGAGTGGGGAGGGGATCAGGGGGTCCCGAGCCTGCTCCTCCACTGCCCATCCCCACTGATCCCCTGCTTTGTCACCTCCAGGGAGATGTCAAAGACGACAAGCTTGCAGCTGGTGGGTATGGCATCGTAGCAGCAGTGGCTCCTTAGGAAGTGCATGTAGACCTCAGCGTCAGGGCTCTGAAACTCACTTTCTGGGCCCAGTCTCAGTATCTCATTTCCCAGTGTGAAGGTGACAGATCTCCTATGCCTGTATTCTTCCTCCTCCTCTTCCTCCTCCCTGGGGCATAGAGCCTCTGGGAACCCTGCAGGAAAAGCCATCCCAGCCCCAGACAACGAGCTGAGATGCTGAGTCTCAGCAACCTCCTGCCTAGGGGGGAGCAGGGGATGCTCCCCACAGAGCCTCCCTGTTCCCTACTCCACAGGGGCAGCACACAGCACTGCAGTTCTCCAGCCTGGGGTGCACTTCAGCTGAGGAGTGAGGGTGATGAGGGGTATGGGCAGAGTGGGCAGAGGACCAGTGTACTCATCACACGACTAAGGCAGTCCCCCCCTCCTACACACCTAGGTTCTACCTGCTACCCACCTTCCTCCTTAGGGCAGGCAGCAGTATCCAGCAGCGCCACCTGAGAGGGCACACAGCAAGGAGGGGTCAGCAGGAGTCCAGCCTTTCCCCCACCCACGGATGCTGCCTGCATTCACCCTGTTCCAGCTCACCAGAGCCGGACTGTCCTTTCAGGGTGGGGATGTGGGCGGGGCTGAGCCCCCAGTCCCTCTTGGCAGCCCCCTGCCAGCGCAGGATCCCCAGAGCCCGCAGCCTCCATGGTGGCTCCAGCCCAGGGCACCCAGCTTGTTTCCCTGCTCTGGGGAGCCAGTGGGGGTCCCCAGAGCAGGGCAGGGCAGGGCATGAACGGCAGGACCTCCCGCCTTCTCTCTCTGCTGTTGGAGCCCAGCAGGTCCCACAGTGGCTCTGAGCCCATCCTCTCCCAGTCCCAAGGTGTAAATCCCGGTCTTGCTTCCTCCCGTGCCGGGAGCCTCGCCAGCCCCACTGGCTTCCCCCGGGGACCAGGTCCGTCCCAGGAGACCTACAATAATGAGGGGGTAGCCCCTGAAGGGAGGCCACAGGGCCGGATGTCTGACTCCGTTCTCCCCAGTCCCCAGGAGACCCTACCATAACACAGCAGCATGTGCAGAGGGAAAAGCAACCCCGGTCACAAACGTACCTGACAGAGCTAATGTTTACAGGCCACCCTAAAATAACGAAGGTACAGCGACTGCTCCCTAAGGAGTCCAGAGCCAGCCCCGGGAAGGAGGAGACCCAGCATACATATCCCCCTACCCTTCCCAAGGGTCTGGGTACAGCCGAGACAAGGGCGTCCTTGTCCCCTTGGCTGCATGTCCGTGGGAAGGGGCCCGGCAGCCCCCCACATTCCCCCACCTCGGGGATGGCCTCTCCGAGTGAGGGGCTATGGGACAGGACCCCCCACCCAGCCCGGCGGTACCTGGGACACAGCGGGGCCGCGGAGCCGCTCCATGCTGACTATCTGCGGGGCAGCGCTGCTATTCTGGGCCCGCGGCTGGCGTGGCCCTGGCAGATAGGGTGTCAGCGAGCAATGCCAGCCGTGCCCCCACCACCGCCGCGGGGGGGGACACGGCCGACACGGCCGGGTAGAGCCCGCAGCCCCGGGCTGGAGGGGGTGGCCGCGGCCCCGAGGATAGCGTTGGCCTTGCGGATCCGAGGGAAGGGGCGATGGAGGGGTGGCTGGGGACAGAGAGCGGGAGGACACCCCGCTTCGCGGATCCCCGTCCTCCAGGAGCGGTGCTCAGAGCCCTGCCCGCCCGGTGGTGCCCCCGCCCCATCGCGGGTGGGGGACACAGCGTGCCCCCCTCCCCGGAGGTGCTGAAGAAGGGCTGGGTCCAGTCACGGGCTGAGAGACGGTCACAGCGGCTGCGGACCCCTCGTCCTGGAGGCTGGCCAGCCCTGTCTGCCCCTGCCCGCCCTTGCCCGGGGTCCTGCTGCGGCTCGCTGTGCCCAGCCACGCCAGACCCACGGCGGGGGCAGCCCGACCTGCTAGGGAACTTCCTTCCTTGCCGCCTGCCCGCCCTCCGCCCGCTGTCGGCTCCACTTCTATTTCAGGGAGGTTCAAATAGCACCTTGGCCAGCTGTCGGGCCGGCCCGGGGCAGCGGTGGGCAAGCGGGCTGGTGGCTGCCGGGTCAAGGGGACAGGGCTCTGCCTGGTTTCAGGGGACAGCTGGAGACACTGGCCCATGGCGGAGTGCAAGGAATCCCCTTGTGCTGCCTCACGGCAGGCAGGAGGAGAAGGGACGAGGGCGAGAGCTCGGTACTGGGGTGACAGGAGGACACAGCGCAGCCCGGGCCCAGTGGCCCGTGCCCCGCAGCGGTGCAGAGGGCGATGGGGGCGAGCCGCTACAGCCGTGCCGTGCAGAGCAGCCTGGCTCCAGCCTGGCCATCGCGGGTGCTGGCAGCAGGGAAGGGGGCAGGCATCTCCACTTTCGGAGCTATTTTCAGGTGCTGGAGAGAAGCCGATGAGAGATGAGATTGTCACCAAGGAGACCGGAGAAACAGGGCCCAGTGCCGGGAAACGGGGGGCTGCAAGGAGAGGGGAAGGAAGGGCTTTCTGTAAGCCCCAGGGCCCACACCAGAAGCTCAGCATCTCCTCTAGCCTCCAACAACCTGCCCAAGCGGCCAGCATCCAGCTAGCAGGCTGGGGGAACATAACCCTGAACCAGCACCCAGCTCTTCCTCCCTCTACTGTAAGGCTGGACTGCTCTGTTCCCCTTGGTTACAGGTCCACAGGAGAGTCCCTAGGACATAAGGCAGTGATGCTGGGAGCTGCTCCTCCATGCAGGGGGGCACACACACCTGCCCCCAGGACAGCAAGAATTACCCCCTGCTAGGAGAAGGACAGAGAAAAAGGGGGGTGGTAGCACAAACCCACACTGTACCAGAGCTCAGTGAAGTCCTGTGGGAAGAGCTGAGCTGCATCCCAGACACAAAGAGATCAGGGAAAGAGAGACAGATGAGAATGAGGAGAGCAGCTGAGCGTTAAACTTTAATAAAAATCCTTGAGAAACAAATGGAAAATAGAGAGCAGAGCCCAGGAGAAGAGCATCAGCCTGCAATCCACGCACGTATGCTGCAGGGCACACCAGAGAGCCAATGAGCTCAGCTGTTCCATCCCCAGCAGCTCTACTGTCCCCACAACAAACTGCAGCCATGCTGCTACTCATGGTGTCTCTTGAGCAGAGAATGCTGGCACCGGCATTCAGAAAAGGTCCCAAGCCCTGCTCCTTCCAGAGGAGTGGGGTACCGATTTGGGACTTTTCTCCAGGACCTAGGCTGCAGCAGGGCAGGAGCACACTTGGCTGCCAGCAGCTCAGGACACAGAGACACAGGCAACCAAGGGCTCAGCCTATGCTGGTTGGGGACAAGAAGGGCAGGCTCAGCCGGCTCCCACACAGCAGATAAAAGGATTTAAAAGCAGCCTGGGACAAAGGCCTGACAAACCCCACTTCCTCAGGCTTTGCCATTTGTTTTGAAAACTGAAGTCACACAGCTCTCCTCTTCATCCAGTAAAACATTCCTCTCCAAAAACAGCCCCACAAGCAAGTGTGCAGTGCAAGGGGCTCCCACAGTCCTTGCTCTACAGAGCCAGCTCCCGTCTCTTCCTTTGAGGTAGGTTGATGTGTCCCCAGTGGCTGCCTGGTCACATCACCAGGGTGGTGTCCGAGAGGCAGCCAGAAGGTCTCTGGTTGGCTCCACCAGTGCACTTGTTGAGAGGTAAGCTCTGAGTAGGGCTGGGCTCCAGGCATCTTGTGAGGTCCTCACCAGCTGAAGGGAAGTGTGTGCTGCAGGAGAAAGGAGACCCTGTGCTGCTTAGGGACAGTGAGAAAGGACCAAAAGGACCATGGTGCAACATTTACCTGCAGTATCATGACACACGAAACTCAGATACGGCTGCCAGGCTCACCTACTCCATCTCCCATCCCAGGCAGCACCACTCACCCCAACAGATATCCAAGATATTGATGGGGCTTCAGGACCATAGCTTGATCTCTCTGTTTGAATGTAAACCCAAGTCCATCCTGGCCTGGGCACAGGAACATGGATGAACTTCCCTGTAGCACCGGAGACAAGGGGTGTGCCTCCCCTCCACTTTGGCTCACCCAGACCCTGTCCTTCACCTCTCCGCAGGAAGCTCTCAGGGCCAGTAGCCCAGCTTTGCTCAGGGAAGCTGGTAGAGTGCAGCAGACCTGGGAGTGTCACTGCTCGCCCAACCCACGCTGCAGCTGAGCCTCTGCTCACTGCTAACCACATCAGTGCCCACAGAAGTGGCACAGTTCCCTATCAGGGAAACATCTTGTCAGCATGTCCTGACCATGACAGCCCTGAACGTTACTCAATCTGGCTGTTCTGGGCTTCACTCCCATCTGAGCTGGGCGCACAGTGCCAAGGAGACATGCCCAGTTATGCAGACATCATGCCAGACCCACCAGTTTGCTCTCCAGACAGCTGAGGCTGGCTTCAGAGCCTGAAAACCAACCTGCTCCTCTCCCCTTAAACAAAGCAGCTTTCCCTGCCATCCTAAAGCCACACTGTGAACACCATGCGTGTCACGGCCAGTACAAACTCACCCCAGTCTGCCCAGTTCCAGTTTGCTGAAGCCATTTGATTGAATGCTACTCTTCTGAAGTAAGAAAGACTTTGGCAACGACCACTACAGGAGGAGAGAAAGACAACAGAATGGTTATTTAAGTCATGGCAAAAATCCCTCAAGCCTGCTGTGCTCTGCCATAGGCTGCCCTAGAGAGTTTCAGCTAGAGCTGCCTCATTGCCGCACATCATCACTGCCACCAGACTGTTCCAAGAATAGCAAACAGAGCAGTCTTTGCTCTCTGACTAATGAATCCCTCTGCTGAAAGTGGGAGTAGAGCATCTCGAGGTCAAGAGTGGGTTTCTTTCAGTGCATCAGTCTGCTGTAAGGCACGGGAGTGACAGACAGAGATGACTCCCTCACAAAGGGGACTAAGGGGCAGGTCAGGTGCCAAATATGTAGGGCTGTACCCAGTGATATTCAGATGCAAAATACTTGGAGATCTGATATACTATTCATGACTTCATGTTAGTGGGAAATAGGGCAGCATGGGTTTTTCCAGACTCCTGGAGGCCTTGGCAAAGAAGGAAGAAGAAGGTAAACAGGTAAGGCAGGAATCAGAGGAAGCAGAAAAAGCAGGCTCTCTACCCAACTCTGGCAGGCAAACAAGCCTCTCTGACTACCTTACCCACAGTCATACATACCACCTGGGCCAAATCTGTCCCTGCCCCAGTGTGGTAGCCTTTGACACACCAATTCTTCAGCAGCTCCAGACCTGGAAGTGACAGAAGACAAGCAGCAAGAATGAACAGTCAGGTTTGCAAAGAGTTAAGCCTTCCCAGCTTGGGGCATGTAAATATGCTGCACTGACCACGCAGAACACGCTATGCAATAACTACTTGAACATGTGCCTGACTGCCAGCAAACACGGGGTAAATCAAGGGCGTTCACCCTTTGTATGAGCAAACACCAACGCACGGGCTGCTACAGCGCCTGCCTTCCTCCCAGGGAGCCAAGACACTCTGTGCAGCAGGCTCAGTGAAACAGGGAAACTGGGACAACACAGGATTTGCCGAATTAGACCACATTCACTGTCCCCCTGAGCCCAATGCTTGCCAACGGCAGCACCTGATTGGGGCTGCACCGGTGAAAGTTCCTACAATGCAAATGTAGAGCAGCTTTGCTGTCATCGTCCTCTTTCCCAGAGGAGGGCAGCTCAGGCAACCTCCTCCTCACACAGCACTGATCAGCTGCAGCATCCCAGTGTATCACCTCCTCCCTGCAGGGATCCATACAGAGCTCAATGTGAGATGAGACCTGCTCTCCATCCCTGACAGTGGGACCAAGCTCGTCACTAGTGTGACTGGAAGGGACCATTTCTCTCACTGCACACAAGACACGGTGCTCCAGAGCACAGTGAGGTCATCTTGAAACAGAGCCATGTGTTTGATTGCACTGACCAGAAATAACCCCAAAACACTGAGAAATCCAGGACTGCTCTCTTTCTGTTTTCTTTTTTAAGAGTCTTAGGGTCATAGCAGAAGCTGAAGTGCCTTGAGATTTAAGAACCAGTAGAGCAATGGCTAGGAACTTGATGCTGTCCAGCTGGGATTACTGTGGTTTGCTATACGATACCAGCCCTGGCTATAGGAGAAATCCT